CAGCGAATGCTGGCTGGGGAATTCTGGGAGTTGAAGTCCGGACATCTTCAAGTTGCCAAGGTTGAGAAACACTGGACTAGAAGACCTCCAAGGTCACTTCCAACTCTGTTATTCTGTTGTAACACACTTTAGTCACTGGGGCTATCAGGCAAAATTTTGTTCCATGCAACAGAACAAACCACAGATTGCTCGTTTCTTTCAAAAAAATAATAATAATAATCAGAGCCCACCTCTGAAGATAAAGACTGTCAAGCAATCTTCTCTTTAGTTTTTTTCCCCCTAGGCCAGGGGTCTCAAACTCAAACTCAACAGACCCGGCCTGGATGTGTGTGTGTGTGTGTGTGCTTAAATCTGATCCATGGGGCCGGCCTGGAAATATTAAAGTTTTGAAGGTTGACAGAAGGACGAGACGGGAGCCAGGACTCTCAGAACAAGAGGTTTATTCAAAGGTAACTATTTACAGGCGATTCAGCACCCTCCCTGTTTGACAGCTATTTTAACAGAGCTGTCAAGCAGGGATAGCCAATGAACGCGCCCCTAGCGGCTAGCAACAAGCGACGCCGCACCCCAGCCAATCAGGGCGCCGCCTAGTTTGTTGCCAGCCACCAGGTCATAAGTCAAGGTCTTTCCGAGTCCTCAATATAAAGGACCGGCCCTTAACCCGTTTTCAGCTTCCACGGCGATTCGCAGCACTCTGCCAGTGACAAAGAGGCCACACGGAGGCCCCGTGAAGCCTCCGTGTGGCCATTTTTGGCCAACAGAGTTCTGCAGGCTGGGAAGACTGAAAATGGGCTTCGTGGGGCCTCCGTGCAGCCTATTTTTGGCTGGCAGAGTGCTGCAGGAGGCTTCTGTCCTGTCTCTCCCCAGTTCCCCCCACCACCGCCAGCCCACGGAGAAGAACTAGAATGCTGGTCCGGGCCTCAAAGAAATTCAGTTTGACACACACACACCCCAGGCGGTCTTCTGAACAGATGCAAATATCTGATCCCACCTCCCCAGCTTTCAGGTGGGGTGTGAACTCCCTCTGCGGAGTTTGAAAGCGCACACAATACTGATCCCCACTGTATGGAGCAGTTTCTGCCTCCAGGATTCCAAATAAGTCTGGCATAACAGACATAACAAAGAAATTAACAGGACATAACAAAGAAACAGTATTAATCATCCACTTCTTATTCAGCTGTGATTCATTAAAGCTGATTAAGAAGCACACTGTCTAAACCCTTCCCTGTGGGTGTTGTTGAAGAAGGTACAAGAACTATAAGCTTTGATTGCGTATATTGTAGTCACATACAATTATGGAAAGTTTTGTTCTTTGACGTTTCTCCTATGTGAAACTAGGACTATGCAAAGATTTTGAAGAAGCTGCTGTATAATATTTGATGGCGCAGATAAAACACCTTTCTTGGAGTGATGGGGTGGCCTAGAGGTAAAGCTCTCGCCTCACAATCTGGAGGCTGTGAGTTCGATCCAAGGTAGAGGCAGATATTTCTCTCTCTGGGCACAATGAGAATATATCTGCTGAACAAAGCTCTGCACTGGCGAGAGGAAGAGCATCTGGCCATTAAATATTATACAGCAGCTTCTTCAAAATCTTTGCATAGTCCTAGTTTCACATAGGAGAAACGTCAAAGAACAAAACTTTCCATAATTGTATGTGACTACAATATACGCAATCAAAGCTTATAGTTCTTGTACCTTCTTCAACA